AATTTTAATTATTTATGATTTATAAACGTAATGTAAATTATTATTAAATTATCATTCAGAATTTATAAATTCAAGTAAATACTAATTATATTACTTATTATATTCTCTCACAAATTTTTGTTCATAGTACAAAATTATAAACTTGTTAATTTTATTTTCGTAACTAATATTAATTAGATAGAGAAAACATACATATATACTATATATATTATCATTCAGGATTCATAACTTTAAGTAATTAACTACTAGTTATATATATTTTTTAAATTAATTCTATATCTTGTAGTCTCGCTTGAAGATTTATATATATATATATATTATATATACTTATATTTATATTTATTTTTACACAAAAAATAATTTTGTTGTATCACCAAAATATTTAGGAATCTCAAGCATGATGAACAATACTACAAAAAATTTTGACATTCTAGAAACCAAATTGAGTATCCTACTTAATTAATTTAACGGTCCAACACAAAATTATTTTTAGATTTGCAATAATTTGCATTTAACTAAAATTTTAGGTACTTCAACAAAAACGTCCTTTCCATGTAATTTATTAATATTTTGTCATTAATTTTACTTTCATAGCTAATATTAATTAGATATAGAAAACATATTATTATTCAGGATTCATAAATTTAAATGACTACTAATTATTATATACTTTTTACTTATTCTACATCTTGTATATATATAGAATATCTTCTCCCTCGAAAATTTTTGTACGTAATATTATACATTACTTATTGTTAATTTTATTTTCACACCTAATATTAATTAAATGGAAATTAGATAAACGGGGTTGAGCATAATGAATTAAATGACGGAGCGATATACTCACTTCCGCGAGGCGCAGACTTTTGTTTTTCTGTAGAATGTAATTTAAAATTTTCATCTCGGAAAGAGATCTCTTTAAAACATTCATTCGCCGACTGATATAAAAATTAATTCACATTCTTTATTTTGGATCCTTATGCAGATCGAGGAAAAGTTCTGACTCGACGATTATGTCTCTCTTAGCGCGGTTGTGCGAAGTTGCAACTTTACGAGGCGTATGATGAAGCGATGGGCCTAAATTTTCAAAGCTATTTCGCAATTCGCTCGTTCTTATATAGACAAGTTGAAGAGACTTCCGCCTCTTCATCTCGAGCACGCCTTTATCGTCAGACTAATGATTTGCAAACAGTGTCTTTCAGTCCGTTCCTCTCGTTACGAAGTTTTCAACAGGCGTTGGTACATGAACAAGGCAGACATCTTGAAACTTTCGAAAAGTAAAAGACAAAAGTAAAGAAAACCTCATCTACCATCCGTTTATGCCATTGTCCGAATTTTATTTACTCAAGTGCTTTCTTAAATGTACTGCAAAGAGCGAGTTACTAAGATTACAACAAATATAATCTAGTTAGTTACATAGCAATCAACAAACAATTTTTTAAGTGGTTACTAATAAAAATAATATGAATTAAAGGGCATACACCACAACGCAAGATCTTAGTAGCGAGATTATAATTATATTTAACAAACTATGAGATAAAATATAAACGTTTCGGCCTCGATCAGGTCTTCTTCAGTATAAACAGAAATATAAATTGGGAAGTTGTTTACAAATTTTTAAGTCGCTTGGTCTTACAAATATCGGCTAATTCGTCGTCAGAATTAAAATTACATAAATTAATTGCAGCACCTACTCAACATTCTCTCTAAAATTGTCTCTCGCAATGATCTTCTATATGAAAATTCTTTTATAATTGATCCTATGTGACGCAAAATTCCCAAGTTCTTTTTTAAAAAAAAAGGGAAAATATTCTTTTAACCATTTATTGTCTATCATTAAATTATATTTATATAAAGTTGTTCTATACCTGTGCCTAAGATTTCTTTCAAAAGGATATACGAAAAATTATTATTTAAACACAGACGGCGAGCTCGACACACCAAATTCGATTGAACTGCTGGTATTATTCCGAGATGTCACATAGCGTTTTTAATGTATATTGTACTATATTTTATTTTACTATATTTAAATGTATATTGTACTATATTTTATTTATGCAAGTCTCGTTTCCTAGCATTGTAAATAAGAATTTTATTTTATTTATTTATTTTTATAGCTGTACTATAAATTTTTTCTTTACGGGGATACTATAATTAAGAAATTCATCCAGAGATTTTTATTGCAAAAAGTATTTTCAATTTTTAATTTTCTTTCAAGAATAAAAATAAACAACAACAATATAATTCAGATTCCATCAATATAATTCAGATATTCAGAACAATAGAAAATTAATATCTTTCATGATAAAAAAAGAGCAATAAATAATTAAAATAATCTTTATAACGTTTTTAATGACTGTATGTAGAATATTTTTTTTATTACATTCTTTACCATTATTATTAAACTTTCTATTTCCACAATATTAAACTTTTTTTAAAGAATTTTTTAGTTTATAAAAATTACATAATAAAATGTAATTAACAAAATAAGAAATGTTTTTAATAACATTATAATTTAATAAATTATAAAAATAATAAATTACGTTTTACGTAAAAATCTTTTTAATGTATTTATATATTCTTCATTTATATTTATTTTTGCTGGCATTAAAAATTGTTCTTTATTATATACACAATAGCGCCATCTCTTGAGAAAATAAATTATCCTTTGCCCTAACATAGAAAGCATGATAGCAGTATTCCTAAAGGGAATGTACATACCATCCCAAGGTTAATAGTAAACGAACTATATCCTTATTTCTTACAGCTGCAGCTACAATCGTTAAAAACGCATTTATTAGATTGAAAAAAATTGCACGTAACTTTATAATATGCCTTTTTCTTTATAGCGATCCAGCCAAGAGTAAAGAAATAAAAAAAGATATTAGTTGCGGTTGAAAAAAATATTGTTAATTTAAAAAAATATTAACAGGCTCTTAATTCAAGTATGCAGTACAAACATCTACAGATAGGAAAGAGAAGACGTTGAGTTAAGCCAGATTCCGAATATCTTAATTGATTGTGAAACATTATTAGAAGTTCTTTCTTTAGAAGAATTAGAAATACAAAACAGTGTTGGAAGAAAATTGTGATTACTCAGTTTAAAAAAAAACAATAACTTATAGACTAGAAGTTTTAATTTACTTTCGTAAAAAAAATATATTGCGCACACGTAGTGCGCTTGTCGCAGGTTTAACGTACTCGAAAAGTGCTGAAAATTATTACTTCTGCATTGTAAATCAAAGTTAGTAGAAATAATATAAAAGTTAATAGAAATAATAAATAAAAATAAATAAAATACTATATCGTTGTTATTCGTTAATGCATATCTGTTTGTCTTGAAAATTGACCCATTTCCCGACCAATCGCAAATGTATCGTTACATCATACATTATAGTTATCTTTTACTTATTGTCACGATCGACAAGGACCAAAGAGTAAATAAATCAACGGTTTATTTAAAGGATGATTAGTGATAAGTGTTTTTCTTAATTACACGAGCGAGTTTAATCTACTCGACAATTAAAAATGGGTTCATCATTAATGACAAATTGGGCGTTATGTTAAATCATAAATAAGCAAGTATATGATCATAAATATACTTTTAATATCATATCACGATTCGTGTAATTTTACATATTTGTTTTAATATTTGAAATATCCGAGATATACCATATTATATCTATATAAAGATTACATGCCGATGAATTTTTTCTCTATACGAACGTATGAATGGCACAACAGATCACCGTGTTATTCATTATAATTAAAACGGTCTCTATTAATTAAAACGAAGAAACGTATTCGATCTGGCTCTGACAATTGATACTATTTAAGGTAATTAATTCCTGCGGATTTTTTGTTGCATTCCTATTGTGGATTTTCACTGTTTTCAGACGAAAGGTAATTCAAGGAATGTACGATCGATAAAATTTCGATAAAAAGAACCTATGTATCTAGAATAATTTGTAAATGGATTTTATCCCAAGTTTTCTCGTTTCAAGTCGCTATGTTTTTTTTGATAACTTATCGAATTATATACGCTTGTAATTATATTATTCTTCTTAAAATATTATTTAATTGAAGTGCCACCAATGGCTATTATTTGTTTTTTTCAGTGCGTAGATATATATATTTTCTTTTCTTTTTTTCATTGTTTTACACTGATTATGCGTCGTTTATTACAAATGTCACAATCTACAATGTACGTCCATTTGTCGAGCACAATTTGTTGAATTATTTATTATTAGATACTTATTGATACGTGAGATTGAATGTAAATTTATATAATAATATCAGAAATATATATGTAATTGATGTTTTGCACTCGCGGGATATTTACGTAATAAAGGTTTGCGACGATGTAGCGTGACAAGATTTTAATAGCAAAATATATCGAAAAAACGATATAAAATATATAATATTTCAGTCTCGATATTTCAGTCAACTATATATTGTGTAATACGTAATTGATTATATATAAATACTGTATATAAATATATTATAAAACATTATTTTGTGTATGTGTATTGCAATATAACTAAGGTTTCTCTCTCTCTCTCTCTCTCTCTCTCTCTCTCTCTCTCTCTCAGAAGTATTATAGATATAGCCGAAAGTTCGATTATAATTTCTATAATACAAAATGCTAATAGAATGCTAACGCATTGCTCATGTCTTTTTTGTGTTTTCATTACACATTGCACATAACGAATTTAAATGGACAAAGTTTCCAATAATAATTACACTTGAAATACATTTCTACTGAGAAAATAACACAGGTGTTCGAGCCAGGTCTGTGAATTGATAATTGTAGAATCAAGTGTTGAACAAAATTATATAATGACGTCGAACACATCTGCGTGTTTTCGAAAGTATATCTCAATAATTGAATGTACATACATATTGTGTGCGCACGAATGAATTATATTCTTATTTATCGGTAGTATCATGGCCAAACAGTTCGATAGAGTATATAAACTGTCTGCGCGAATAAAATTTCACTGAAGAAATCGATCTTCTGGTTACGAGGTAAGGATCAATATACTCCAATGATCGACATAATTTTGATAGCAATTTTTACAAATAATAATATTTTTGAATTATAAATCGTGATACAATCATGCATTATCGTGACGGATGTTTAATTGCAAGATGCTCGTTAAATGCAGCGTATACTTGTGTAAAATAATATACTTGTGTAAAAATAAAAATAAAAAATAATTTTGTAAAATAATATAGGTCGTATAAGTTTACGTTTGTCGACTATAAATTTGCAGATGAATCGTTGGATATTGGTTTTCACGGCGTTAGCTGCTTTGGCTTCGCTTGCCAACTCAGCAAGTAAGTATTACATATATATACATATGTGTGTATGTGTGTGCGCGCGCGCGCATGCACACAATGTCCCTTAATTGTAATTGACAGCGTTCGTGTAGATAGAGCGGACTTGAGTCAAAAGATCTTCTATCATTTTGCAATTTCCGCAATAGTTAACAAGATATTAATTTCTAAGGATTGCAGAATAAGCAGGTAAAATCGACGTAAAATGCAACTTAAAATATTTTTTAAAGTTCTTTATGAGATATCTTAAAGATGTTTCTAGGACTCTTAAAGATGTATTAAAATTGTTTTATGCGGAAATTTTAAACATTCTGCTTATCGAATAACTGAAAAAAATAGTAAAAAAAATTGCAAAATAAAAGCCTTTGATTCAGTTTAATCCACTTTACCTGCACATGAGCGCTACACACACACACACACACACACACACACACACACGCGCGCGCGCGCGCGCGCGCGCGCGTGTATATATATATGTATATTGATTAAGAAATGAATTAAAAAGAGAATTATTGATTATTATATGATTAAAAAGATATGAATATGCACTAACATTTTTCTAAACTCTTTTTCAGAGAAGGTTGTATGCTACTACGGTAGCTGGTCCGTTTATCGAAATTCTAATGGCAAATGTGATATTTCAAGTATTGATCCGTCTCTTTGCACCCATCTCGTTTATAGCTTTGTCGGCATGAATGCGGATGGCAACATCCGCATTTTAGACTCATGGAATGATGTTGCCGACAATTGGGGCCAGGACGGCTTTGGTAAATTCAATAATCTTCGTAAAAAGAGCCCCAGCACTAAAACGATGATCGCTATCGGTGGATGGAGCGAGGGATCCACATCATTCTCTGCTGTCGCCAGCAGTTCGATTTCTCGTAAAGCATTCGCTAAGAACGCCGTTACATTTACGGAAAAATATGGTTTCGATGGTTTGGATGTCGATTGGGAATACCCGAACCAGCGTGGTGGGAGAAGCACGGACATAGAAAACTTTGTGAATATGCTCAAGGATCTCAAGACCGAATTAAAAAAAAAAAATAAGTTGCTCAGTGTTGCCGTTGGTGCTACCGAGTCACTTGCCAGTTTGTCCTATAAAATCGCCCAGGTAGCCGAACAAGTGGACTTTATCAACCTTATGACGTACGATCTCCATGGTACTTGGGACGGCGTCACTGGTCACCACGCTGGGCTTTATGCGCCTAAGACCGGAGACAAGCTCAACGTTGTGAGTGTTCTCGGATCCGATATTTGAAATTATCGAATATTAATTTCGTTTCCATTGATAAGTTCAAAGAAAACATTTATTTTTCTAGCACGCAGCCGTAAACTATTGGTTGAAGAATGGTTGCCCACCTGAGAAACTAATCCTTGGAGTGCCATTCTACGGTAGGGCCTTCACTCTCTCCAATAGTAATAATAATGGTCTTGAAGCTCCTACCTCCGGACCAGCTTCTTCCGGTCCGTATACTCAAGAAGGTGGCTACCTCGGATACAATGAGATTTGTGAAAAACTTCAACAAGGCGGCTGGACTGTTGTACATAATGATAAGACAAAATCTCCGTATGCTTACAAGGGCAATCAGTGGGTTGGCTATGAAGATGAAAAGTAAGTATACTGATGTAACTTTCTCTTTCATCCCTTAAATTCGTATGGCAATTATTTTTACCAATACTATATAATGTTCTATAATTTTAATAACTGCGCCATCTCTCTTTTTCAATCTATTCAATCCATTGACATGTTCCACTGCACGAGAATAATGTGTAGGGTAGAGCGGGGCTAGTTGTGACACTTTTTCTTTAAATTATTATAAATCTTCACACAATTATGATAGATTAATGGTAAATGCTTTAAAACGTTGCATGTTCATCTGGCTCAATAATTAAGTACTTATAAATTCTTAATATATCTCATAAATAAGAAAAAAATTACGTTAATTACAAGAATGCAAAGTGGACCAATATGCCCCACCTATGGGGCATGTTGAGCATCCTCGAAGGATAAATTGAGCCATGAAGGTAACCATTTAATGAGGTTATATATTATTAAAAACATGAAAGGATTATATGTATATTAATCAAATTTTTATTATTTGCATCTTAAATATAATAATTTGTAATATTCTTTCTTTTTAAATGCTTTAATTAACAAAATTAGAAAAACTAAAATCTTTACTCTTTATAATAATAATTAAACGTAAAATATATGTTTAATCGTTGACATA